TCATATTGCTTGTCTACGAACTGACAAAGGAGGGGAATTCACATCCAAAGAGTTTTCATATTTCTAGCTCATAAAGGTATTTCCAGACAATTGAAAGTTGCTTACACCGCTAAACAAAATGGAGTTACAGAGTGCAAGAATCGCACTATCATGAATACAGTATGAGTTGTGCTTCATGAAAAGCATATTCCAAAGTCCTTCTGGTTTGAGGTAGTGAGATGGTGTGTTCATGTTCAAAATTGAAGTCCTACTACTACATTAGATCATGGAACTCTAGAAGAGGTATGGAGTGGAAAAAACCTTGTGTTGATTAATTCCAAACATTTGGATGTGTTGCGCACATTCATATTCCAAATTAAAGAAGAAGAAAATTAGATTACAAGAGTCATATATTTGTTCTCTTATGCGTGAGTGATGAAGTGAAAGCTTACAAACTTTTTGATCCCATTTCAAAGATGGTAATTGTAAGCAAAGATGAGGTATTTGAAGAAGACAAAGGCTAGAGTTGGCACAAGGGTACAATCGAGAGTACAACTCCTGCTCTTGATATGAAGGGCCAAAATGAAGAAAGAAGTGACAATGCCGATTCTACACCTCAACTTGTTGCAACTAGAGGTAGCAATAATGATTCAGAACTGCCTGAATCAGCTTCTGATTTTGATTCTACTGATCCTCTAGTTGAAGGTAGGGCAAGAAGGACACAAAGACAACCTTTGTGGATGACATATTATGAAACCAATATGTTTGTAGAAGAGGAAAACTTGCTAGCAATGCTGACGACCGATTTTGAGGATCCTCAAACTTTTGAGGAAGTTGTTACAGGTGAGAAATTAAAGGAGGTCATGGACATTGAGATCAAAACAATGGAAAGAAATAACACATGGGATCTAGTTGACCCACCTGAAGGCATGGTATCCATAGATGTGAAATGGATTTTCAAAACAAAGCTAAATGAAAGAGGGGAAGTAGAAAAATATAAAGCCTGATTAGTGGTAAAAGGGTATACTCATGAGATTTTAATAGCAGAGATATATGCAAAGAGTTTAAACACTCAATGCAGTTAGAGTTTGACAAGACACATTTAAGAAAAATGATACATTTTTTAGGAATAGAAGTAATACAAAATGAAGCAAGAATTTTCATATGCCAAAGCCGATATGCAAAACTCTCAACTAGGATGCCTCAACCTTAAGGAGCCTAGTGTACAGGAAGAAGGTCAAGAACACCTAGACTTAGACGTGGCAAGTTGTGAAGAGGTCGAGGACACGTCGGCTTGAACATAACAAACCTACGATGCTTCCAAATAGGATGCCTAAATCCTAGAGGACTAGTATACAAAAAGAACGTCTATGACTCCTCAATTTAAACATAACAAGCCTACAACGCTTCTAATTAGGATGCCTCGACCATGGGAGCCTAGTGTATAGGAAAGAGGTGGAGAACACCACGACCTAAATAATGTGATCTTATAAGATTAAGACAATGAAAGAGGTCAAAGACATCTTAGCCTAAGGAGTGCGGAAGAAGTCTCATCCTAGTTGAAAGACTCATGATGAACCACAAATCCATATATAATGAAGTAAATTGATAGATTCAAGTATATATAATCAAGTAAATTGATAGATTCATTTATCATAACTTTACCATTTACCGTTAGCAAGTCACTTAACATACTATCTTTTGCAAGCTCTCCAGTCAAGACATTCATAATAAAAAAGACTAGTGTATTTCAGAATAAATTTTTGGCTTAATACCTCTTTTTGTCCCTCTTTATAAGGGAAATGTTCAAGTTCGTCCTACCTTTTTTAAAAAGTTCAATGTGGTCCCAAGTTGTAAAAAAAGTGTCCAATTAAAAAAGTGAAAAAAGTTGTGAAAAAAGATAGGACGAACTTGAACATTTCGTGTCCAATTAAAAAAGTGAAAAAAGTTGTGAAAAAAGGTAGGACGAAGTTGAACATTTCCTTTATAAAGAGGGACAAAAAGAGATATTAAGCCTAAATTTTAATAACAACAATTTCCATTTCAATTTTAATTACAAAGAAATTACAATTAATTTTAATTACAAAGAATTTAAAATTGATGAAAAAAAACTTAGAACGGTAAAAAATAAAAAGTCAGGCTTTCTTTTTCCGTCTGTTACTTACTGAGAAAGTGACAGAAAGAAAGTAACGGAAATGTCAAAAAAGTGATGATTCTCATTCTCCGGTCGCAAACAACAGCGTTAAAAATATCTTCGCCTTTACAGTGACAGAACAACAACAACCTGAAGAAACCGAACCAGGAAAAACAATTACAAACCCTAAATTTATGTGCCTCTTTTTTTCTCAAGTTTCTAATCTGTATTTACAGCGCAACAAAAACCAAAAACCAGCAAAACATCCAACCAAATCATGAGCTGCGTATTCTGTTTTCATTTACTTTTCAGGATGATTCTTCCGGCAAGAAGTTAACGAGCTCGGAAACATCCGGCACGTCGAGGCCTAGGCGCAGCGCGTGGAGCACGCGCTCGAAATCGAAGACGCGGCATGGCAAACGGAGCACACCTTTCTGCTCGTAGCCGTATTCCTGCGCGGATTCGTTGAGTAGTTGCACGAAGACAGGGTGGTTGAGAAGCTCAGCGCAAACCACAAACCTCTCCATCTCGTCGCCGACGTAGATCGGCACGTGCCCCTCCGGCACCAGTGCAGAGGATCGGCGGATCTTGGAGGCGCGGAAGGACTCCGAGCGGTGGCGCCGGCGGCAGCCCCGCGACGAGGAGGAGGAGTCCGAGCGGAGGAGCGTGTAATTTGAGGAGTCAGCGACGCGCGAGAGGCGACGGATGAGCTGCTTCATCTGAGTGAGAGGAGCAGAGGGATGTTGTTTGTTGAGGTTTGTGGTTGTGGTTGGTGTGGTTAAGGATGGAGACAAGAGTGTGTTAGAGAGAGTTATATTATATGGGTGAAGGGTAGGATGGGAATTTTATTACAAATGTAAAGATGATGATGCCAGAAGACTGGGAGGTACAGTTAAGCGTACTTGCCAGGTACAATTGGTGAGTGAGAGAGAAATATATTAAATAAAATAGTTAGGTAATTTATTTAAATAAAGTGTGGTTTATTAAATTTTATGAAAGAAAATGAATGTGGTGTGGTTGGATTTATTTATTATATATAGTCGCCGTGAATTTATTGTTCGGTTTTTTCCTTGGCTTTTTTGTCAATGTGTCTGCAGTGGGGTGTTTGATTACGATTTTGTTTTGACCCGGATAGTATAGTTTTTTTTTTTTATTATTCAATTGCATACTTGAGATAATATTTACATAGATAGTATTTCTTTTCTGAAGTTAGAATTTGATTTTTTTTTTCACAATCAAATTGTATTAGAAAATCAGTCAGAATTTAGTTTTCGAAAAATTAAATTCTAAACTTTATTTTCTATTTTTTTTTTATATTTTAAAAAGAAAGAAGGAAAAAAAAGTAAAAATGATTTAAATAATATTTAAAGATGATAGTTTTGAATATGTTTACTTATTTAGTAATAATAATTTATTTGAAGATAAGTTAAGTGTAGAAAATGAGAAAATAACAATTTGGGATAGTTAATAATTTAAGAAGTAAATAATTAGAAAAATAAGTTAGTTGAAGAACCTTGAATATATTTAGAAATAATTATGTATTTGTATTTACTATGTAAAATTACAATATGACTAGGGGCATGTTTATGAATAAAACTTCTATTTTTTTAATTATTATATTTTGTGAAAATAAAAAATTTATTCAATGATTTAATATATTAAATAAATTTAAAAAAAAGACATGATATAATTCTTTGTCTTAATATTTATAATAATTATTAAATGTTTTCTTTCCATTTAATTCTAATTCAACGTGATTCTCATATTTTTCTAAAATAATTCAACGTCTGCCAACCTCATCATGCCTGGCTCGCAGCTTCCACACGTTCCATCACAGATAATAAATTGTTTCTGAAGTGGAATTGAATTTTTAGGTCACGCCCACCCTCTTTTTTAAACAAAAAAGGATTTAGAAAATATAAGGAGTATATTGTGTCAAAAATAAATTAGGAACAAAATTATCATAAATATATAATCAAAATTGATATAAAGTCTCGAAAAAAAAGAAAAAGCTAATTATTATCACAATTATTAAAAAGTAAAAACTTATTGAAAATTTGAAAAGTAATTCTCAATAAGAAATGAATATAAATAAAAATATTTTGATAAAAAAAATTGTATTTAATTAACTGAATTTAAAGAGGAATTATAATAAAGAAATATAATAAAGTATAGAAAGAAATAAAATAAGACTGGTAAAATGATAATGAAGAGATTCAAATATTTATTTAAAAACGAATTGAATATTGACATAAATAATTGCAAACGAAATACATGTAATTGGCTTAATATAAAAATGAAATTAAACCGATAAATTGTTATAAATTTTAAATCTTCTAATATTGTGGCAGTTGATAAAGGTACTGCTTTGAAAGTTATGAAGAAATTTATCAGGATTGGTGACCGTAAATCTTTTCGATTAATAGTTTAATGAAATTTATTCCAACGTTCCATCGTTTGTGTAACATCATATCAAATTTTGTTTCAATTGAATAATGCATAATTAGGTTATTAATGACTCTTATCAAACGATGATTTCTGTAACTTGTTTATGGTCTCCACATTATATATGTTAGGTTATATTTTGTAACAATTGATGAAAAGATCAGTTGTATTAGATTAACGTTGTTATTAGGTTGTCATGGTGTATAAAGAAATACTACCTAAGAATGTGGAATAACATAGATTCCCACGGTCATTTTGATTCCCCAAATTGGAGGACAGTTTTAATGTGTATACTTTTTGGAGAATTAAGAGAAAGAAACTCTCTTTTTCTTATTATTATCTTCACACTAAACACATACTTATACAATAATGAAAAACAGTAATCAACAATAAACAGTAAACAGTAGGCTCCTACAGAGCCTATATCTAAAAACATATTACATTTCAACACTCCCCCTCAAGCTGGAGCATATAAGTCATATGCCCCAAGCTTGGAACATATGAATTGAATTCTAGGTCCCCTTATAGATTTGGTCAACATGTCTCCGAGTTGTTCATTAGAATTGACAAATTCAGTAACCAGTTCCTTTGACAACAACTTCTCTCTAATAAAATGACAGTCAATTTCTATGTGTTTCGTCCTCTCATGAAACACAGGATTGGAGGAAATGTGTAGAGCTGCTTGATTGTCACAGTACAGTTTCATTTGCTCATTTGCACAAAACTTCAATTCTTGAAGAAGTTGTTTAATCCACACAAGTTCACATGTAGTCAGAGCCATAGATCGGTATTCAGCTTCAGCACTAGATCGAGCAACAACGTTTTGTTTCTTACTTTTCCAAGATACAAGGTTCCCACCAAGTAAAACACAATATCCTGTAGTAGATCTTCGATCAATTGGACTACCAGCCCAATCTGCATCGCAATATCCTTCGATCCGAGTGTTTCCCTTGTTCTCATACAATAGTCCCTGTCCTGGACTTCCTTTTATGTATCTGAGAATGCGAAGTACTGCATTCCAATGATCAACATGTGGATTTTGCATAAATTGACTCACAACTCCAACTGGATAAGAAAGATCAGGTCTTGTTATGGTAAGATAAATGAGTTTTCCAACTAGTCTTCTATATCTCTCTGGGTCTGAGAAAGGTTCACCCTGATCTGTCATTAACTTTTGATTTGGGTCCATGGGATTGTCAATGGGCTTGCAATTTGTCAGACCTGTTTCCTCTAAAATGTCAAGAGCATATTTCCTTTGTGAAATGATGACACCTTCTTTTGACTGTGCCACTTCAATACCAAGAAAATATTTTAGACGACCCAGATCTTTAGTTTGAAAGTGATTGAACAGATGATTCTTTAACTGATTAATTCTAGTGATGTCATTCCCTGTAATAACAATATCATCAACATACACCATGAGATAAACACATTTGTCAGGAGAATAGTGACCATAAAACACTGAATGATCCGCCTCACAACGTTTCAGTCCAAATTTTTGCACCACCTGACTAAATTTACCAAACCAAGCTCGAGGTGATTGCTTTAAGCCATAAAGGGAACGACGCAACTTACAAACTAATCCAGACTCCCCCTGAGCAACAAATCCAGGAGGTTGCTCCATGTATATCTCCTCTTCCAGATCACCATGAAGGAAGGCATTTTTAATGTCTAACTGATAAAGAGGCCAATGACGAATGGCAGCCATAGCAAGAAAAATACGAACGGTACTGGTTTTAGCCACAGGAGAAAAAGTATCACAATAGTCTTGGCCATAAACTTGAGTATAGCCCTTAGCTACCAGTCGAGCTTTAAGGCGATCAATTTTACCAGTAGGACCAACTTTAACAGTATAAATCCATCTACAACCAACAGGCTTCTTATCAGGAGGAAGAGGGACAAGATCCCAAGTGCCATTGTGTTCAAGTGCCTTCATCTCATCAACCATGGCTTGTCGCCATCCAGAATGAACAAGTGCCTCATGAATATTATTAGGAACCTTAGTCGATGATAATGAGGAAACAAAGGAGAAATATGTAGGAGACAAGTTATGATAACTCACAAAATTATAAATAGGATATGGATTGCGAGTAGAACGAATACCTTTACGGAGGGCAATGGGCCAGTTATCATCTGAATCAGTAGAAGGTGAAGATGATGAAGGATCCATGGTCTGAGGATCTGATGCAGAAGGATCTGAGTCTCGAGGATCGT